TAGCAATATCCAAAAAAGAGGAATTAAAAAACTCAGAACTGACTGATATTTATACCTAACAGCGCTTTGTTTGTACGAAATCATATTCACGGCTTGTAAAAAAAATGAAAAGACAGTTAAAATCCTAAAACTCCTAGTGGAAAATATACTTATATTGTATTGCGTAAATAAATGTCCAAAACGCTGTATTGAATGTGTGTTGTGGTTTATTGTCTGCACCAAAACGCTAATGAAAGTTTGAAAACGTTAATGAACTTACGCAAACATATTCATGATTGTCAAATTCAATGCTAAATTTCTGAATGAAAGTTCCATCGCACTATTGAGACTCCGTTCGCCTTATTGTATGCCTGTTCGCTCTAATGACAATGCTTCTTCACTTCAATGAATATTCCTTTGCGGTTAATGAACAGCAAAAGGTGTAGTTGTATACGGGTAATTTGTTTACATTAATTGCCCTATTTCACTATGACGTCACATCAAAACAATCTATTGTCGACTTTCACATCCCCATAATCCTTTGCGTCTTTGGGGGTAACCAGAGGGTGAAAACCCACTTATTTTGCTGAAGGCTGAACTCTACATGATCTGTACACGCAAAAATAACTTGGAATAAACTGATAATCAGTATTGTACTGATAAAAGCAGGTATAGTACAAATTCAATTAAGAATCTCTGAGAAAGTTTTTTAGTACATATATTTAACACATATTATATCTGAAAACCAGGCCATTTTAGATTAAACTGTTTCGCTAAGAGCAAATTTTGTTGAATTTTCTATTGGATTTGGCGGCGATTCTATCTCCCACATAAACAAGCAGTGACGTCATAGTGAAATAGGGCAATTATGATTAATCAAATTAAGAAGTTAGTTTATGGATGTTTTACGCTTACCCCTTTATAGAGTTTCTGCTGTAGATCATAGTACACGTATCCGGTTTTACCTACAAAGTCTGCTGCCTTGGAAGCCTTGTCCTCATTCAGCAACTCACACCTGACATCTTTCATCTGGAACGCCTTACAACGACAGTCATTGATACAGGACGAGAAGCAAACGCGTGGAACATCAGTGGTAATGTTCCTGTACGAGTATCCTCTGAGATGTTGTCCAACGATGACGTCACTACCCTTCGGGAAAGATCCCGAATAGCAGGTGCCTTGACATTGAAATTGGCCGATCACGTGATTAACGAATGACAACAGCGTGATGATGACGTGCGTAAGCATTTCTGACCTAAAACAAAGGTTGAACTCCGCTATTATTAATGTTAGAAATCAAAAACAATACGTTACGTTGCAGTAAAAAGCCGTGAAACTGAAACAACTGGAATGAATTTTTTTTTTTTACTTAATTTTTGCGGGGTTTTTTCCCATTTTTTAAAGTACACATGAACCATTCGAAAATACTTTCAGTACAGATTCTACATGAAGTAAATAGTTGAATGAAAAAAATTTATCTCTTGATTTGCATGAGTGATGCGTCTTTAAGATATGAAGGCTTATACTTCCAATATGTTAATGACGGTGACGTCAGCGAGGTAAGTAAAGTATTGTAGAAGGGTTCAAATGCACTTTAAGATTATATCTTTTAGAAATTTGGTTTGTATTTTCGTAGAGAAATATTGAAGTTTGTGTCTGACTTCTAAGTTTACAGGTTCGTACCAACTTGGGAATTTGCGAACGAACTTCGGAATCGGCCAAAGTTTCGGGAAATCGACTAAATAAATATGCAAATTGATTCCAAACTTGCCTACCAATAGCGCAGCGCACTGATTCTAAAAATAGCTTAAAGATTCGGACAAACATTGCATTCTGTTTAACCGCTACGAGGATTATACGAACCGATTTTATTATTTTTACTTAAAGTTAAAATAATAACCCATGTAAACTAAGATCAACTGCGATCGGCTGTGAAAATTATCTGCTGAAAGTAAACTTGTAAGTTTGTTTGTCCGAATTTCGAATTTGTCTTCGTTTTTATGACGTCACGGTTGCGCTGCGCTATTTAACTTTACTAAATACCTAAACTTACACTTTTTTTAAAATTTTGACTGGGACAGATCTGTTTCCTTTCAACAAATAACTCTTGGATATTTAGAGCTTTCTTGACTACAAGGATACTTTGTTTTTTTAAACAGTCAATCAAATGGAAATGACAAGATTCATTTTCATACATCACTCGGCGAATTGGAACTCACTGCTTCATGTTACAGTGTTTAAAGCAGTGCAAAGTTCAGGGAATAGTCAATCGCAAAAAACTCGAAGTGTTCTTCTCACTCAGTAAATTCTTTTATGTGATGGAATGCATGCATATGTGCAAAACGTACGTTTTACGAAATAAAGTTTAGAAGCAGACTTCATTTTTCCTGTTCTTCTACTCTTTTTACTTTGAAATCCTTACCTTAGAGTGCTCTTCTTTTAGCTCGTTGTCCAAATTTGTTTCAGAGGAACACAAGGTTAAATTCACTGACGTTCCAAGTACTTGCAACAAACACTAGCTAGGCAGGTGATTTAGCCTTTTTTCGCAAGAACAAAATAGCCAATCAGCAAAACGTTTTTTCAAAGCTCATGTTGCTCCTTATATGGAACAATCCAATCAGAATTCGAGTTTTGAATCGGTTATTATTTTGAACCTTGAGTCTTCGTATTCTCAGAAAGGATTATAGATTTCAATATTTGAATAACTTTAACCATTAATGGCATCTAGGGGGTAAGCTTGAGCCGTTTTGAGTGTAAACTTTTCCACGGAAAGACTCACCAAATATATTTTAGAAACAGTATTAAACTTTCGTAGTTGTTGGCGGAAAATATTTCAAAAGCATGGCGCTGTTTCATTGCTGGGTGAAAAGTAAGGCTTTTCTTAAAAATTCGTACATCCCACGCTTTAGAACAAAAAGCAATTCTTTTATTGGGATTGACTCACCGCTGGATGTCTTTGAAGGGAAACAAAAACCACCATTGCACTACAACGGTTGGTTCAAGCTGTGAAGAGCTCAGCGATGTGGCCCGGTGTCTTTCTAAATTAAATATTGATATTTGAACGATCTTGCTACACAGTTATCAAATGTTTTATTGATGTATTAATGTCAAAACGGCTCAAACTTTCGTAGTTATTGGCGGAAAATATTTCATTTTGACAAGAGATAAAATATTTCGACACAACAAACAACATTGCGTGAATGCCTAGTTTCCAAATCTCCTGTCCTAGATCGGGAGAGCCTACTTAGCGAGCAGTTGATATATTGTTTTCATAAAAATACAATGAATCACAGCTACAATCGATAGAACGACAAGAGAATACAATAAATTTACTGAATGCATTACAACAACTGAGTACTACGGTAACGAGTGAAAAACGTCTGCGCATGCTCTGAAATCGTATGCAAATTACTCAAGACATAAGTAAATTTGACTTTCAAACATACCTGATAAATTGGACTTCACAAAATGCCAAAACTTAGTGTCCATGCTTGAAACTTAAGGCTAATTCTTTTATATTGTGTTCGTTAATTCAGTATCTTTTCTGACAAATGCGTACTCTCGAACTTTTTTGTATACTTGCTTGGAGAAAACAAACATTTATTTTCTCACTCAAACTCTTCAAAATTCTTAGAAAACGTGCTGAAGTACACGCATGCGCAAACTAGCCGCCATATTGGTTGACCTTGACAAAAGATTAGGTCTTGGTGTCTATTGTCATTTCAATTAAAATGACAGAATGATTTTTGCTCGTTTGGTTTTTATGTGAAGGTATTCAATGCCCCACATTGCTTTCTTGCGATGAAAAATGTTCTATATTTCGTTTTCTGGTTTCCTGACAAACGGCAAGATTATTTAGTAATTCATTACAGTCAAAACGGCTCAAGCATACTACCCTCCCCCCTAGGTTCATTAATGCTTTCATTATTCGAATATTCAAATATATCATCCTTTTCGAGATTACGAAGACTCAGTATTCGAAATAACAACCGATTCAAAACTCGAATTCTGATTGGATATATAAGCGACACCATAATCCAATCAGAATTCGAGTTTTGAATCGGTTATTATTTTGAATTCCGAATCTTCATTTTCTCAGAAAAGAAAAAAATCACTATTCGAACAATGAAACCGTTAATGAAATCTAGGAGGATAAGTTTGAGCCGTTTTGACTGTAATACATGAATAAAACATTTGATAACTGTGTAGCAAGATCGTTCAAATGTCAATATTTAATTTAGAAAGACACCGGGTCACATCGCTGAGCTCTTCACAGTGGCGGATCTAGGGGTGGGTTTTGGGGGTTGCAACCCCCCCTATGAGAGCCATCGGGATTTATTTATTTATTTATTTGGCATGACAACACCAACAGCATCACGAGTTTTATTAAAACAGGGGTGCCGAACACATTTCGCTCGCTTTTTTTTCTATACGCCGTGTGTGGGACCTGAAACAACCATGCTCGCCTGCAGCAATAATCGTCCCCTTATCCTTTGGTCTGTTATATCTCTCCACCACCTCAATCAATGCTGCAACCCCCCCTTTGAAAAAATCCTGGATCCGCCCCTGCTTCACAGCTTGAACCAACGTTTAGTGCAATGTTTGATTTTGTTTCCCTTCAAAGACATCCAGCGGTGAGTCGATCCCAATAAAAGAATTGCTTTTTGTTCTAAAGCGTGGGATGTATAAATTCTTAAGAAAAGCCTGACTTTCACTCAACTATGAAACAGCGCCAGCGCTTTTTCAAAGTTGATTCACTACGGCTATAACCTCTRAAGTTTTGGCTTTCGGGTTATAAATTCGATATCACTTCTAAATACAAATATATAAATAAAGATGAATAAAGATGAATATGAATAAAGACACACTTTTTGAAGACAAAAAACATATCATTCCCAATAAATATAGTAACTGATATATAAATGTATAAAAAAATAAATATAATATTTATCATCAGCACTGAAATTGGAAAGTAGTTGAAATTCCAATTTCGAATTATCGTTTTCCTGCAAAACATTATAGGATTTATAGGATATGAAAATATGCAAATTAGTTTATATATGGATATATAGATATAGATATACTTGACTTTTGCAGAATTTTTGCAAATCCTTATGTATATATATACAGCGCTTTGCAAAAATTCTGCAAATAAGGCGAATATCGATATCAGGTGCATATCGATATTAGGAGCAAAGTTGTCCAAAAATATATCATAAGAGCATTATAAAACGGCTTCTTATGTCTCTGTATTATTATGACATAAACATATAAGCAAGAGACTCGGATACGCCTTGTGCACGTGTTTCTAAGTTTGCTTCTCTCGTGGCCTACAGCCCCACCGTGTTTATATCACAGCACAGACACATGCGCGCACGCTTTATATTCATTAAATTCAGCACGTCGGCCATTATAAAGTCACGTGAGTTAAAGTGTGGGGACGAAATAGAGAGATCAAGAATGTAATTTAAAGGTGGTCAAAATTTCTAATTCCAAAACCGCTATGACGTCAAAATATATACGACACGCCTTCATGACGTCACTGTCTTCCATCACTGGGTCTTCGTTTCATTTTGATGCTTGGAAAGTTCTTCTCTTCGCTTTTGAACAACTTTTAAAAGTCTTTCCATCGCTGAAAATGGCATTGAAATATTGCTTATACATTGTTTAGAGGAATGTGGTCTGTAATGGAACAAGACTGAGTCAAGCTGAATGGGTCTATTGCTTAAACAATACTCAAGGGAATGGCCATATGGTCTAAAATGGGACAACATTGATTCAAGCTGAATGGGTCTATTGCTTATACGATACTCAAGGGAATGGCCATATGGTCTGAAATTGGACAAGACTGAGCCAAGCTGAATGGGTCTATTGCTTATACAATACTCAAGGGAATGTTCATGTGGTCTGAAATGAGCCCAACATTGAGCAAAGTTGAATGGATTTAAGTGTTTCAAGAAAATGGTCATGTGACAATTAATGGTTTGAGAAGTCATTTCAAGTCATTTCATATAAAGCATTCTTTCTAGGTATATGGAACCTATAGAGGTAACCTTGACCGTTTTAACTGTAACTGAAGGGACATGTTTTAATTTTAAGAACAAGCAGGGGGAGCCACCACATTTTTTCCTCTAAAGACGAAAAACTCCACCACCCCCCCTCCCTCCACCCCAGTCCTCCATTATCGTTCCTACCTATTTGAAGAATTTTGGGATCCTCAGCAAAAATAATCCTAAACCATCCTGGTTCATTGCAGGTGAAGGCAACACTCGGACTTATGTACAGTTTGTTGTCCATAAAATACTCAAATAGCTCCCACTCATCTTCAAATGTTTGAGACTTTAAAAACTGTAATAAATAACAAAGATGAAGAAAAGACGTTTGGGATTGGTCAGAAAGTAGGGGGTGGTGGGTCATAAATAATTAATTATTGAAAGTCAAAACCCTCGTGATCCAGCCCATGTTTTAAGCACAATAGAGTATGATTCACCCCTGTATAACATCTAAAGAAATAGAAGAACCAGACCATACGAGACTCCGCCATGGCGGTCCCAAGCCCGTATGAGAAATGAGGAGGGTTGGGCGAAGGGCTAGCAACCCTTCCCTGTAAAAACTAAAACCGCTACAGAAACATCACTAACAGAGAAACGATGGCATTCAGATTTTGTTGATGGCCTATACCCCACGAGGGGTGTACAGGCTTAGGAGGAGGAGGCCTTATGAGACTTCACATGATCTACCCCTTATTTGAATCTAATGAATTGTGCCACACCCAGTTTTTCATACCCCACCCTTAGCTTTACTTTCTTACCTGATGGAATGCTTATTTTCTCATAAACCACCCTTATTTGAATCTACAAAAAGTGTCCCACACCCAGTTTGTCATACCCCACCCTCCGCTTTACTTTCTTACCTGATGAAAGGCTTATTTTCTCATAAACTACCCTTATTTGAATCTACAAAAAGGGGCCCACACCCAGTTTTTCATACCCCACCCTCCCCTTTACATTCTTACAGGATGAAAGGCTTATTTTCTCATGAACCACCCCTTATTTGAATCTAAAAAGAAGTGTCCCACACCCAGTTTTTCATATTCCACCCTCCCCTTTACTTTCTTACCTAATGAAATACTTATTTTCTAATGAACCCCCCTTATTTGAATCTAAAGAAGAAGTGGTAGAAGAATAAAATGGACCAAAATAATTTCCAGAACTTACTTTTCTAAAATCTGCCCATAAGAAGAACCCTGCTTTGCATTCAAGGTGTGGGATGTCAGCTTTTTGAAGGAATTCACAGACAATCTTGTTGCTCTCTCGTAGACGCTTGTGGCTTGCAGGAACATACACCCTGTCGACCCAGTCTGTGATCAGAGATTTAAAGATTATCCTATCAATAATAGATCAATAAAATTTCGGTGTCCATGACGTGAAGGTACTGTGATAGTGCCTTGATAGAGCGCAACGGACCCCAACCCTAATATTATTTTGACCATGATATTACCGTAATGGCATGAACATTATGCCGATGCGGTGACTACCATGTGATGATGGTACCCCAGATGATGGTACCAGTTACAAGCAAACTACCATATCAAACATTGAGTGTCGTATTTCCCTGTGTCTGTTGTCTGTGAGGCAGACCCACGAGTTAGCATCGTCCCCGTATCCTTCCTCGATTTTTCAAAATTTTTCTTTTTTTACAAAAATGTTCATGTCGAATTCGTTATGAAACGAAGCCTTTTTGTTTGCCGCTTTTCCGCACAATCCAAACATGGAATTGATCATACCATACATGGAGTGAGCTTTCTCTACTCCAACTTCGACACTAACATATACAGAGTTGCTTTCATAACAAGCTTTTTGCACTCGAATCTATTTTGTTTCCTGGTTAAGGACTTACCTAAATCTTTGATGAGATTCATCAAGACATGCTGGAAAAGGGAAAAACACTATGATCAAAACCATACCTTCAAATTTAAATCAATATTTTTTTACCACGAATCTAAATTTTTTTTGCTTACTGATTGGTCGAGAGCCATGGTAAAAAGGTTATACCAAACAAATTTGAATGGACTATGCCTCGCGAGTACAAAACATTTTGACCAACTGTTAGCGTCATATCGTGGTAAATAAGAGTTGTCACACATCTGTTCAGCTGATCTGAYATAATAGTGAGATACAGTGGAAATGACGTCACTGCAAAACGAAGGTGTCATAAAGCCTGCAAAATTTGACAAGCGAAATATAAATACCTGTCCACCATTGCAATGAAAATATAATTAAACTTATTAGTTATTGTGTTACTGTTATCAACCTCTTGTTAGCAACTTTTTTTTTTTCATTTGATGGACTGGAAATCCACAATTTCAAAAGAAAAAGTGACACCTCGGTTTTGCAAAATTTCTCGACTCTGATTGGCTAAAAACTCTTCTCAGATCAGCTGAATTCGATAAAATTTGAAGGTTTATGACTGTTGGGATTCCTGTGTTAGTAGAGTGTTATACAATACCTGAGTGACTGTTGACACCGTCTGAAAGTACATGGTGTTGTACAAAGCAGCTTTGAGGTCCTTGTTTTGGGTGTAAAGAACTCCACAGCGGAACCCTGATACAGCAAAATCCTGCAGAAAAAAAATATAATAAAGACTTACAAAAATATTAAATATGGTTTAGTGGTCAATTGCAGACCATGTGTCATTGCCTTGAGTATTAATTCTTTCTTTAACAAAAATGCTTTTCAGCTATGGTGCAATGTTTTCCATTTCAGACCATGTGTCATTCCCTTGAGTATTATTTCTTTCTTTACTAGGAATGCTTTTCAGTTATGGCAGTGTTTTCCCATTTCAGACCATGTGTCATTCCCTTGAGTATCATTTCTTTCTTTACCAGGAATGCTTTTCAGCTATGGTGCAATTTTTTCCCATTTCACACCAAGTGTTATTCCCTTGAGTATCATTTCCTTATTTAACGGTTGCATGCGAAAACACTTACTTTACTGAATCCCCAAATAAAATGGAATCTCTCAGGATCGGGAATGCTACAAGACATCAAATAAAAAATGTTACTTTCATATCATTTTTATTCTATATGTTTTAGTACACAATACACGGAATCGAAATGGGACCAATTTGGATAACTATTGTTCTGGACTGACTAGCCTGTGTCCAAGTGACCCTGCCCCATTTACAATAGTCCCCTCCACAGTTCCCTGCGCCATCTGGAAAGGTAGCCGTGCCTTTGCATCGAAGCGAGACGAACAGTGAGCTTGCAATGATAGAGACCTTTTTTTTAACACCTTGGACAACTATTCAGATGTCTCTATCATTGCAAGCTCACTGTTCGTCTCGCTTCGATGCAAAGGCACGGCTACCTTTCAAGATGGCGCAAGGAACTGTGAAACAGACTATCATACTGTTCTCGAGTTTACACTTACTCTGTGTAGCTTAGTACGCTGTTCATAGAAGATCCTTCATGAAAGATTGACAAGAGATAAAGCTCATCTACTATGATGTGGATTTTATGTCTGTAATCAGAGAACAAAACCACACAAAACATTAATTATTGTTTGAAACCTGAAACAACCTCTGGGCTGATCTACGTCAGGGCACGGCTAACTCACAGATTGAACCATGAAACAACCTGTGGGCTGATCTAACTCAGGGCATGGCTAACTCACAGATCAAACCCTGAAACAACCTCT